GCCTCCAAGCCACCTTTTGGTATCACCCTCTAAGTCTCACTATGAATGATAGCTTTCAAACCATACTTTGGAATCACCCTCCAAGCCCCACTTTAGTATCACACTCCGACCTCACTTTGATAATAGCCTCCAACCTCACTTTGATAATAGCCTCCAAGCCTCACTTTAGTAATAGCCCCCAAGCCTCACTTTGATATCACGTGCATTCTCCAAACCTTACTTTGGTAACAGCCTCCATACCTCATTTTGGTAACAGCCTCTGAGCCTCACAATGGTATCACTTTCCAAGAACTAGGTTTTGTTTAGAACTAATATGTGTAATTCCCTACAATGGTCAGGTATCGAAGGTTATATATAGTGGGTATGTTTAACTCCGTTTAACATCTGCACGACCAATTACGTTTCAACTCAACAACACCGGGAAGTTGAACTATATCTAAACACCGTCCCTCAACGTTGAGGGACGGTGATCTAAACTAACTAACAAACAACGTTCGTGTAAAGACATTCATTGAACTTTGGTTATTTTATCTGTAAAGAATAAATATCGGTTTCCAATGTTCTTCGCAATGCATTGTTTCGGTTCGTGTATTGGATAATGTCAGAATTGTCAAATAATCACACACGATATTTTGCGTTTCGAAGTGTTCCCGGATAACAGCCTCGGATAGCGCACCCCATATGGTTAATGGGGTCATTTGTCCAAATCCTTCTCCAAACGTGTAGATTCTAGATTAATCAACCCACCAGTAATATAATAAGTTCATACGAATAAACAAACATTCAGATAAAAAAGAAATAACAAAGTAGAAGAAACAAATTACATTACATTAAAAACAGTGAATACATCATTCATAATAATTCCGTATTAGTAGTTGGCTGGCTACAGTTAAAGCGGGAGGGGCGTCACCTGCGCACGCGCGGGAATTGAGTCCCAAGCGACGATAACAACTTACGCATAAAACGCAAAGGCTCATGGGTAGACGCTTGTTTGTAAACAATGACACGCCATGACCATCTGACGCATGCGCAGGTGTCGACTCCCACGCTTTAACCATATGTGGGTGTTTGGTGCTCAAATTGTTTGTGTGACTTTACTTGTATTATTCTGAGCAGATGAGTAAAGTTTACAGGAAGTAAAGAAAACTAATTTTCATCTTCTATTAGTGTACATGTTATGCATATTTTTTCACTGATTGGTGTTTTGTTGCGTTTATTTATGTCTATTTCAATTCCTAGTTTGTGGCAACTCAGTCTCAATCTTGCTAGTATTTTGATATCTTGGAGTTAATTAATTTTGTTAAATATGGGGCCAGTTTAATTAAATTATTAAATTGCTTATATGTTCAAAGCTTTTTGTTTTTATTATTGTCTTTATTCCATATTTTATTTTAGTAATTTTTGATTTGCATTAATGTCAGTACGGTAGAATATCTTAATGTCATTAAGTTCATGTAGCCATGAGTTTT